TAGTATAATATAATATAATATATAATTTATGTTGTAGAATATGTAATATATGATATATAATGAACCCCGTCGGCCTCCCCATAGAGTCGGTGCTGGTTCCGTCTTCATCCCCGCCACGGGCAACTCTGACTGCTCGTCGTCCGTTTCTTCGACGTCCTGGGCTTGAGGCGCTGGGAGCAGTGCTTGTAAGATGTATATACCGTGTTTTGCTATCGCATAGCTGAATGCTGCAATAGCATGGGCAGCAGACCATGTTGTGGTAGAACCTACCAAGTCTCCTTCATAAGAATGATGCTCGTCATCCAATCCTGGACTCAACAAACAAAAGCCTTTTGTTGAAACCGAAAGCCCTTTGCTACACCCGAAAGCCAAATGCTGCTTCCCCACCGACCGTAAGGCTACGACCCATAAGCCCCCTCGAACGGATATAATCTTACTAGTCCTGTGGTTAATACTGACACATGATTCCTAAGCTCAGAACAACATCCAGCTATAAGCACTCTTGAGTGAGAAACTTGTTGGAGGACCTGGCCCGAACAGTTGAGCATGTTTAGAGTTTAGAGATTAGGCGGGTAGTTGTGGAAACCTCACAGAGCTTCACGCAAGAGATTTTTTCATGAGATTAACCGCTTTTTCGTACGTATTGATATACATGCAATAATTATTACCTTTACGGTTATTATTGTTACTTCAGGATGGCTTCCTACATCGGAGGGGGTTTTGAGTTTAGGGTTGGGGGGTGCGCATATTTGCAGTTGGGTGTTGGTGGTCTCAGGGATCGGGGATTGCTGCTCATCCTCCTTGCTCCTGGTGCACAAGAATCCGTGCTACAACAAGAGCATCTTTGTCGATGCTCGTGGTCTGTTCAACCTAAGCTCAGCTTACGCACTACTCGCACCAAGTCTGCGTGGAATGCTGTTTAGGACCACAGATTATGCCACTGATACTGGAAAAACATTTCTAAATGTCAAACATTGACATGATGACATGACTATACGGCATGCGCTGCACTAGCTGTGCTCGACTAGATGAGTTGCAATTCCACCGACTACCAAGACATAAACAAAGCCCCCTAAACCTCAAAAGCTTAACTATGCGGGTCGGGTCGAGTGTGGTTACCCTGTTTTTGAACGAGGTCTCTCTGAAGTGCCTCCCAGCTGGACCACACTAAACCCTAAACCACCACGGTGAAACGAAGCCAAGCGCAGCCGAGCAGCGATGAAGGTGTTGACCCTCACATGCGGTGAGCTGCTGGGCTTGTTTACAGGCTTCATAATGGGGTCCCAGGATTTCGGAGTTTCTTGAACCCAGACTCTGCCAAAACCCTAAACCCTAAACCCAGCAGTTAAGATGGTTGTGAAACTCCCGTGCCTAGAAAGCCGTATTAAAGGCCTTTTTCAGCCCTTTTTTTTACCCCCAAGACCGAGCTGTGCCGCTATCCAGTGCTCGGCGATTACGGGCTTTGGGGCGCAAAAAGCCCCAGGTTCCCTGTTGAGACGTTACTAGCAGTGATAACAATAGTAATATTAGTAGTAATAATAATAGCAATAATGGCAATAATATTAGTAATAATGTTAGTATTAGTGATCGTAAAACTTATAAAGGTAGCAAGCCCTAAACTTCCTAAGCCTTTAAACCGCTCATGCAATCCTTATACATACCCTTCAAGGAACTCAAGAAGCAAATCAAAACCCTAAACCCCTCACAGGAACCCCTGAAAGGAAGCCTAAACCCTAAAGCCCTGAAGGAACATTACAACTAACAGGAAGCCTAAATGGGATCAAATTCCCGTTCCTTGCAAAACGGAAATCCGGACCACTGACAGCAAGGACTGGTTCTTGCAGGATGCGACGGTCTAGGATTTAGAGGTTGAGGGTCATATATCCCTATCAGCCCTAAACTTTACCCTAAACCCTACGAGCCCTCAAAAGTAGTAAAGAATCCCCAAACCCTTTACATCAACGTCAGCACATCCCTACCTTCTAGGCAACTCCGGGCACTTTCGGGGCTCTTATTCACGAGTTCCTAAGTCGACCAGAGATGCTCACGGCTACACCCCTACTAAGGCCCCCCTAGGTCCACCCTTGCAGATTCTGAGCGTCCCAACTCTGAGAGCCTCAACCGCATGCGAGGTGCACTCTGACTTTCCCTATCATGCCGTTTGGCAAGCTCATGGCGAACAGAGGGGACGAGGAGACTCCACGCGATAAAACACTTTTACTTGAGCCAGACATTGAGGATGTCAGCGTAGAGACCGTAGAGAGGGCAGAAATGACTAAGGTCAGCATCCACGCCCGTAGTTTTGAGTGTGGGCACTGGAATAATGGTGCAGCCAAAGCCGTGGCGACACACCCAGAGCGAAGATATCCTTTCCGTCTACTTTGTACGCCAAACCGTAGATCTTCACTGCTCAAGACCAGCTTCCGAGCGACTAAGCCCTGAGGATAATTCGGAATTAAGTTGGTGAAATAGAACCAGAGGGGCTTTGAGGCCTAGAGTGTAGCCGAAATTTCGATCACCTGCCGCGCACTGCCAGGGCTCTTTTCTTCTTTCTCCGAGCTCTCTGCGTCACATACACACTCGGATTTTGGGTTTAGGTTTTGGGCAAACCGTAGGCCCTAACCCGTAAGAACACAGCATTAGGTGAAAAGCGAAACCCCGGGACCTCTGCGTAAACCCCTAGTAGCAGTAGTGGTGGTAGTAGTAGTAGTAGAAGTAGAAGTAGAAGTAGAAGTAGAAGTAGAAGTAGAAGTAGAAGTAGAAGTAGAAGTAGAAGTAGAAGTAGTAGTAGTAGTTGTTGTTGTTGTTGTCGTCGTTGTTGTAGCCTCAACAGCGGGTGTCGGAGGTGAAGTCGTCGTGATGCAAAGTCGATTCAGACCAGCCGGCGGATGAGAGCAGAGCCCACGCCTGGATGCTAGGTTTAGGGTTTAGGGGTTTAGGGTTTATAGGGTCTATAGGTTTTATAGGGTTTATAGGGTTTAGGGATCTCTGGCGTCAGGCTCGCATCTCTTCAAACTGAGGCTCTCCAGGGCCCAGGTAGGTCGTAAGGCTTGCTATCAAGTCCTCTTGCGGGCTTTCTTTTGGGCGGTTGTCTCCTATTAAAATCGAGCCGTTGCCATGTTCACGTGGGAGCCAGCGATTCTTTGTATGATTTTGAGGTTCAGACATGCGCCAGGTCCCGTTATTCGGAGTAAACTCTCTCTCTCTCTCTCTCCCCCTCTCTCTAGGCACTCGAAGTGTCAGGCCTACCCCAAAACCCCAAACCCTAAACCGTGTGTTCGCCACGCTTCATCCCGTGCGGCCACCAGTCACTCCTTTCGGGGCTTGGGGTCTGCCTAGGGCGTACTCCTGCAATAGACGATATTGGGAAAACTCTAGCTTGGCTCCAAGCTGGTGGTGTTCTGAATTAGGGTCCCTGTTGGAGGGTGCCGTACTATACTGGGGACCCAGAACGGGACCCTCTTTTGTGTCGCATGCAAACTAGCCGCAAACCAAGCTCCAACCACAAAACACACATCTCGGAATTCATGCTGAAAGCTATATCACAGTGCCAGGCTCCAGACAATGAGCCGATACCCCCATCTCCCCAAAACCATAAACCCCAAAAAAAGGCCCCTAAACTCTAAACTCTCCACTCTAAACCTTACACCTTGATTCGCTTAGGATCCTATACTATAAACCCTACACCCGGGTTTAGGTTTAAGGGATGGGGTGGAAGCTCCAATGCAGCCCAACACCACCGCCAATCAACCCAAGGACCACTCTTAAACCCTAAACCCTGAACCCTAGCCAAAACCCAAAAACCCTTAACCCTAGAGCCAACACCGAAAAACAAAAACCCTAAATCCTTAACCCTAAAGCCAAAACCGAAAACCGAAAACCCTAAACCCTTCACCCTAAAGCCAAAACCGACAAAACCGTACTGTAGACCCTACACCCTTAACCGTGTCGTGCTCCAGGGTTGCTATTACTATTGCCATTCAGGGAAAAGACACCGCGACCAAGGATCCTCCTTCCAGGGCCTTCTGTGGAGATAAGGTTCCACGGAATAGGACTTTGGGGTTTAGGGGTTGAGGGCATTTGTGTTAAGGGCTCACTTTACCAGGTTCGATAAATCGACGGTTTGATCGTGCAAACACCGGCAAAAACCTGCCCAGCAACGTCAACAACAGGTTTCAACGTTAACAATGGGTTGCTGCTCCATTGGCTAATAGAGACAGTAACCTATCAAGAAATTGGATGCTACAACCGGGCTTCTGGCAGTGTCTAGAGTTCCCCTCTGCATCGGCTGCCTCGCATGTTTACATGCGGCGGCGCTTCGCGACCGGAGGCGCCTCATGTCCGGTTTAAGGTTTGGCTTGGGGCTTTAGAGTTTAGGGCTTGGGTCAAGGCGGTCTGTCGGGAACCAGGAATCAAGATCTCAGGGCCTCTTTGTGGTGCATGTTCAGGAGTTTCTTGAGGCTTCGAGTCTCGAGGGCCTGTTGCGCAGCCACCTAGGGCTCCTGTAGTTGGGGCTGTGCTTGCGGGGATTTGTCAACACAACCTAGACCCAGACATAAATCCTAAACTTCCATCTCTTCATGCTGTTCATAGGTACGCAAGTCCAGCGGGCCTATGTAACTAGCAACCCCATGCAACCACATGCCCGTAGTACACCATACTTCTATCCTACTTACACCCACGCTAAGACCCCAAGAATAGTTCAGGATGCGGGGCTTATGCCTCCAAACCCTGTATCCTTCAACCCCAAAAGAACCCCGAGCCGAAATTTGTGCCACCGCAAGCAGCATCAGAGCTCAGAACCCCTAAACCCCTAATAAAGGTGTCTTATAAGCAGCATCGAACTTTGGGGGTTGTATGTTGCCATAAACATATATTCTGGGGCTACTACGGAAAAGTCGTGGTAAAACCTTCGGCCCCTGTATTCAGGCTCAGCCTGTCCTTCTTTGCAGTTAGGCCTCTTGAGGTGTTGCCGGGTCATCAATGCGAGTTCGCGCCGAAGACACGAACAAGACTGGACGCAGCTTGCGATACACACTAGCAGCTAGCACTCATGGCCAGACGATCACTTGCTGGACTCGTAAGTAGTAATTATGAAACAAGACAGAAAGGAGAAGTACGTTGTTGAAGGATTGACCCTAAACCCTAAAACCCAAAAACCCCAAAAGCCCTAAAAGCCCCAACAACCCTAAAACCCTAAACTGCCCTAAAACCCTAAAGCCCCAAACCCCAAACCCTGATTTGCCTCGGACTTGGCCACCAGAGGCGAGTTGCATCGAACATCAAAGAGGCGGCCTCCCAATTGCTCCAGTAACAGAAGGTTCGGGTGTAGGGTTTAGGGCTTGGGGTTTAGGGTTTGGGGTTTTGGGGGTTTAGGGTTTGGGGTTTAGGGTCTAGGGGCCTTAAAAATGAGAAACTGGTTTTCGGGGTGTGTTATACTATTAATATAGTATATTAATATACCCCCAAGCCCTGTTCTAATGATTAAGCTCTCTCTCTCTCTATATATATATATACAGACACATGACTTGAATGAGAACCCTAAGAAATGATGTTGGAAATTCCTCTCTTCTTCTACTGTACCTCTTCAGGGCCCGGGGCTTTTTTGTTGAGCGACCCTTTTCCGTCTCCGGCCCGGGGTGTGCGTAGAGTTAGGGAAGCTTTCTTGCATCTGGGCTTGGGGACTCGCCAGATCCTTGCATCGCGGCGGTTTCCTTCCTAACCCTAAACCCTAAACCCTTAAACCGTAAACCGATATAAACCGTTAAGAAAGGGACCCTAAACCCTTGAACTTTAAGCCTTGAGCCCGAGGCCTGAAGAGGCTTTGGTGACGGGCTAAACTCTGCACCCTTACGGGCAGCAGAAAGGGTTTTTTAAGAGGCGTCTATTTAAGGCTTTCCGGCTCGATGGTTTAAGGGTTTTAAAGGGTTCAGGTCTGCGAGTTATAGAATAGCATTTCAGAGGCTTCGTTTAAAGATTACTCATGATAAGGGTAGTAAGGGCTTGTTTTGGGCAGGCCTCCCGAGTGCAGGTTTGGGAGAGTGGCATTTTGCACGAGGTGATGGGGCAGGAAGAACTCTAGATTCGTCAGTTCCGGACATATAGGATTCAGGAGCATCTTCACATCTTCTTATCGTGGAACTGCCAAACTCCCTGTAACGTATCAAAATGCGGAACTACTTTCTGAAAGTGGCCCCGAACACCAGAACAAGGGCCGCACAAGGTACCATGATTTGGGCTAGTCGGCTAGTCACTAGTTGGGAAAAACCTTCACACTTGCAACGGCTTTCATAGCAAGCTCCCTGTTCGGGAGGGTTGTTTGCTAAATCTTTAAGTTGCTTTATTCTTAGCGATACACGATATTGCTGAATAGTGTGGCATACCTGAATTTACTACTAATAGGAGGCCAAGTTTTTTTTCCACCAAACGACCACATGGCTTCTCAGATCAGCAGTCAAGAATGCCTTGAAGAACTTTACCCCCCCCGGTTTGTTCAACTCGATACTTTGGCTTAGGGTTTTTTATCACGGATCGAAAAGTGTTGTGCAGGCCTTGGGCTTTACAGGACTCTGGCTGGCAGCAGCATAGCAGTGATGCCGACAGTTAAAGTCGCACAGCAATGTCATGACGGTAGCACGTGAGTGTAAGATAACAGGGGCTCGAACAATGAAAGCCTAGTGTGACTACCGATAGCAGCAAGTGGCTATTCAGAATTTCGGTGGATGCTCGCTTAGGTGCATGAGGTTCGGGAGAGACTAGGAGATGTGAAGCCGCCACCCTAAAAGCCTTGAAGCCCTATGCCTAGCTTCAAGCACCTCCACGGTTTAGGGTTTAGAGGTTTAGGGTACGATCTGTGATTGGCAGCATTCCGGGTTCAGTGACAAAATCTAGACCTGGGATGTCGGAATTTGCAAACACCTCTCATGTTCTTCCATCTGCTCTATAAGCTGAAGGTTTAGGGTTTCGGGTTCAGCTCAATTGCCGGAAATACTTCAACCTGCCGGAAGAACTGAAGCCCAAATCTTAAATCTGCAAATCTGAACCCGAATAGATCCCAAACCCTGGGCTAAACACTCGACTGTGAACCCTGGAGATAAGCTTTCTGTACACAACCAAAGCACACCCAAGCAAAGCAACCAAGAAAACAACAATTCAGCGCATCTGGCGATTCCAA